CATCCTTTCTGTGTCCAGTCTTCCTGGGGAAGTGGGAACCTCTGCTGCAATGATGGGTGGCAGTAGTGGGCATGGACATCCGTCTTGCTCCTGATGGAAGAAGGGAGGAAGTTGTTTCTCTACCTTTGAATGTACAGTATCAGCTGTGGGCTCTTAGACGTCCTTTCTTGTTGCATTGTTTTGTTTAATCATGAAAAGGTATTGGAGTTTGTGAAATTTTTTTTCATGTCTCAGAGACAACCGTGTTGTGTTCTTTTTTTTCCTAAGATTTATTTATTTATTATATATACAGTATTCTGTCTGCATGTACATCTGCACACCAGAAGAGGCCATCAGATGTCATTATAGATGTCTGGGAGCCACTGTGTGGTTGCTGGGAATTGAACTCAGGACCTCTGGGAGATCAGCCCGTGCCCTTAACCTCTGAGCCATCTCTTCAGCCCCTCTGTTCTGTTTTTCAATCTTTATTCCTATAGACAGGATCTCACGTAGCTCAAACTTCTTTTGAACTCATTATGTGACCCCGACTCTTCTTTTTTTCTTTCAGTTTTTATTGTGTATGTAATATGATACCTACATGTGGGGGGGCATATATGTGCCATGACACATATGTGGAGGTCAGAGGACAGCTTTCAGGGGCCAGATCTCTCCTCCTCAGTGGGTTCTGGAGATCAAACTCAGGTATTCAGGCTCACTGCTTTTCCCACTGAGCCATTTCACCCCCCTGAATTTCTGACTTTGTCTCTACCTCCCTAGTGCTGGGATTACAGATGTGTATCACCACACCTGGTTGATGCTGAGGATCAAACCCAGGGCCTCAGGCATGCCGGGGAGACACTGCAGCCAAGCTCCGTCCTCAGCCCTGGTGTATTGAAGTTTAGGTTAAATCACGCTTTCATTTCTGGGATGAATCCCATTTGTTCTTTGTATATATAACCCCTTTTATATGCTGCTGGATTCAGCTTCTAGTATCTTATGGGTTTTTTTTTCTATATGTTTAAATGATAGTGGTCTATGGTTTCCTTTTTTAAGTTTTCTTAAATTCTTTTGTCTGATTTTGGTATTAGGATTGTATTGGCATCATCTAATGAGTTGAGAAGTGTTTCTTTTTCTTTTTGGAAAGGTTTGTGAAAAATCATCATCAATTCTCTAAGTGTCTGGTGTCAGTGGAGTCTGGATTGGGGCAGGGTGTTTGGTGAGGGGCTGTAATCATTAGCTCAGTCTCTCTGCCTCAGACTCACATAGGTCCACAGGCTTCTGCTTCCCAAGTACTGAGACTAACAGTGTGTGCCACCATACTCCCTGCTAGCCCTTGGGTTTTTAGACAGTTTTGTTATGTAGCTCAGGCTAGCCTCAAGCTCTCAATCCTTCTGTGTTTGAATGAACGTAACAGTGCGTGACCACACTCAGCTGATTTTGTTTTTGGCTAATCTTCATCTCTTGCATTTCCATGAGAGTTTTAGAAAGTTTGTGACTCTTTCACAGAAAAGCGTCTGACATTCCTGCGGAGATTCCGTTATTTCCAGCAAACTGACTATAGACATGGGTGAAAGGAGAGAGGGTGCAGGAGTGTGCAGGCAGGAGTCTGGAAAGTGAGGCTTGAGCAGTAGCCCCAGCTCCTCCTCCACCCTACTCCTTGGGTCTCCTGGAGGAACATTCTCTGTCCCCTCCTGAATGAACAGTGTTGAAGTGTGGGCAACTCCCTGTCCTGAGCCTGTGTCTGCCTGGGAAAGATGGTTGGGTAATATTAGGTACCACAGGAAGAAATCAGAGTTGAGATCAAGGCAAGACAATCAAGACCAATGAGGGCAGAAGTCTCTGGGCTGGTATGTGTACACATGCGCAGCATATGTGATGAGTTCTGTCAGACATCGTATGACACAGACATTTAGCAAAGGAGGCTCTCTGCAGGCAGATGTGAAATAAGCTCTAAGATATGGAGATGAGTGAAATGTGGAAAATCGTGTACTTCTATATATGTTCAAAGAAAAAAGATTAGCCAGGGAGCGGGGACGTACCCCCCTTGCCTCACCTGCACAGAGCCCTGGCTCTATGTCCAGCACCACAGGAAACTGGGTGTGGTCGGGGCTGGAGAGATGGCTTTGCTGGGAAAAGCACTGGCTGCTCATCCAGAGGACCTGGGTAGGATTCCCAGCAACCACATGGCAGCTCACAGATGTCCAAAACTCCTCCTCAGGCCCCAAACATCTAAGTGGAATACACACATACATGCAGTCAAAACATCCGTGCACATTTTTAAAATGAGCCAACAACTGGGTGTGGTGGCCCGTGCCTGTAATCTCCTCACTTGGAGGTGAGGGCAGGAGGTTCAGAAGTTGGAGGTCACCCCAGCTGCTCAGGGAGTGTGGTAGGTGCACACAGTCAGGGCACCTAACCCTGCATGTGTTTGGATTGTTGTTTTTATTTTTCAGAAAATGTTGGCAGTAGCACAGGCCGGCCTCAACTTATTGTCCTCTTGCCTTAACCTCTTGAGTGCTAGGATTAAAAAATTAACAGGCCTGTGTGAAGCACGGTGCTGAGGCTGGAGTTACTGTGTTCTCAGAGGGGCAGCTGCCCTCACAGCTGTACAGGCTGATGAGGTTCACTTCAGCAGGGGCTACCCTGACCTCCATTTACGAGAAATCTCCAGCATTCCCCAGATAGCCTCAGTCTGCCTGTGGGAAACTGGCAGCAGATCACCGGGCTCCGTGAGGCTGGGTGTTCCTTTCTGCACTGATTCACCAGCTCAGAAATCCCAGGGTTTTTTCCAAGAAGGATCCCCCACTGTTCCCAGCTTCCCTGCTCTCCAGTGGTCCATTGGCCCCACTGGAAAGCATCTCATTCTTGCCTATTTGGCCATGCCCTTCCCCACGTGTAGGGTGCTGGAGAAGCACAGCAGATGTTCAAAAGCCTTTGGCCTTCCCGGGTCAAGTGAGCACGCACACCAGCAGCCTGTCCTTTCCCAGTGAGGGCAAACACAGTGGCCATCTGGGACCATTTGGTGTTTTGAGAGTAGCTGCAGTTCTGTGCTTGTATTGGGAGTGGGTGCGTCAGGCTGTTCTAGGAGGCTGGGGAGTGGGAAGCCTCCCCACCTGGGCTCTGAGGTCTTGAGGCAGATTCCAGGCCTGGATCCAAATGCTGAGGATCCTCCTGTCTCTCCACAGAGAACACCTTCTGTAGCGGGGACCACGTGTCTTGGCACAGCCCTTTGGATAACAGTGAATCGAGAATTCAGCACATGCTGCTGACAGAGGACCCCCAGATGCAGCCTGTGCGGACGCCCTTTGGGGTAGTTACTTTCCTCCAGGTGAGGTGCTGGCAGAAGTTTCAGATGGTTCATCCTTGTGGGAAAAGTCCAGAACAGAGGGGAACACGGAGGGGGCAGTCAAAGGTGGGAGGCCTTGCTTGATCTTCTCTTCAGTGTGGTGCTCTGTTTAGATTCAGATAGTCTGATTTCACAGTGCAGCGGCAGAGGCAGGAGGGACTTCCCAACTGAAAGCCAGCTCCACGCTTACCTCCTATCTCCCCACTGGCTGTGAACCACCGCAGCTGCTGCCCGTGCCTGCTTTCAGTTAAAATGAGGTCTAGGTGGAGGCTCAGCTGGTATCCTAGAGATCCACACTTTGCAGGAGAGCTCCCCCACCAGAGCTAGGCTCCGTGCCGCTAGATTCCTGGTCAGGCCCCAGGCCTGTCTGCTCAGGGCCCTCTCAGCCCGGCAGCACCCTCCTGAGGGAGCTGGGAACACCAGCCTAGAAAGAGATCCTCCCTGCGTGCCTCCTCCTTGAGATGCCCCAGAGAGAGCCTGGGTAGCTGACATCTAGGAGGGATGGCCATTAAAACAAAATGGCGTCTTGTCCTGGGCCACAGATTGTTGGCGTCTGCACTGAGGAGCTCCACTCAGCCCAGCAGTGGAATGGGCAGGGCATCCTGGAACTGCTGAGGACAGTGCCTGTGTGAGTACATCCCATAAGTGGAGGCCTGGACCCCTGGGTCTTGGGGTGGGTGTCCTCCCTCTAGCCCACTTGTCGGATCCTTGCTTTGCTGTTTGGGGCACTCATTTTTCTATGGTCCCTGACCACTGCCCTTTATGTTCTGAGCCTGGAACAGCAAACAAGAAAGGTTGTGGGCTGCTGATCCACCCAGACCCTCCGTCACCACCGTCTCTCCTTGTCCACAGTGCTGGCGGTCCCTGGCTGATAACTGACATGCGGAGGGGAGAGACCATATTTGAGATCGACCCGCATCTGCAAGTATGTCTTGAGTGAGGAAAACCTCGTTAGCACACGCTTCCAAGTAACATTGGCTCTCATCCCGAGAAAATGGAGGCGCTTTTTGTGTGAGCCAGTAGAAATATGGTATGGTTTGGACCCTGTCCCCTGGCTTCTGCAGCCCATATAAGAAAACAGATTTCAGCCCAGAAAAGCAAACCTGACACATGTATGCATGCGTTTAAAAAGAGTAGATTTTATTATGTGTAAATTACATCAACTTAAAATTAGATCACCACCAACAAAGAAAGCTAATCATACGGAATATTGCTTCTTTGCCCTGCATTCCTTTCCCTGCTCCCCCTTCTTAACACACATTTTCAGAGAGCCACCCCCCTTATATCAGACAGCAGCACAGGCTGTGTTCACCCCACAGCTGTGGGGTGATGCCGGTTGGCCTAATGATCCTGTCCGTCATAATTCATTTCCCAACCCTGTCCAGGTAGGCTGACACTCTGATGTGTGCAGGAGTCTTTAGACCCCACAGATCTGTGGCTGACCACACTGCGGCTGCCTGGACAGTGTTGGTGTCACCTAGGGTGGTTTAGAAGAGATGCTTGCTTGACACACAGCTGCATTTTGGAAGCCCTGGTGCATTGCTGCATTTCTTGTGTGCTGTGCAGGGGCAGAAGCAACAGACCAAATGCCTGCCTTGTGCTTGGCTCTTTCTTCTCACCTAGCCACCAGAGGCAGGCCACACCTTCTCTGAACTTAGCATGTCTCCGAAAGGCTCCAGGCCATGGCAGTGACTAGGCATTTCGAGTCGTACGTACAGTAGGGGAGAGGTCACACACAGCTTGCAGACCTATAGGTTCTTTACTGCTGGCCTATGAGTTCTTGGGCACATATCCTCTTCCTTTACAGATGAGGCTTCTCCACTGAGTACCTTCAACCCTGAAATGTTCACACTGCTGCCAGGACCTTTTGTCATTTCTACTTTGAACCTGCTTCTGTGTAGCTTCTGCTTCTGTAAGAACCAGAAGCCATGAAGGCTGCATCCCTTACGCCCTTGTTCTACATCCACAGTGGGACACAGCATGGGGCACCATGGGTTCTTGTTTGGCCCCTGTGCTTCTTTGGCCAAGTACACAGAAAGGACTTGGTGCCTTGAATTAGTAGGGCAAACAGACCCTTCCCCTTCTGCATGCGAGAGCCTGAGGCTCACTGAGACCCCAGCCAGCAGGACCCAGAGCACTCTATGGCTTTTGTCATACAAGAAGCCAGTAGGAAAAAATGTGGCTTGCCTTCCTGATAGCTCCATGTACCAAGTGAGAACACTGTTTGCCTGTACCTTTTGGGGGCCTGTTTGCCATTAGTTCCTTTGAGAGCGCATTCATATTCCTTTGATTTTAGTTGACTGCTAACCAGCTGTGTGCCCAAATAGGCAGGTTTCCACTAACTTTTCCCTGGGTACTGGCTGCTGAGCTTCAAGTACTCACCGCTCATCTCCAGCCCCAGCTGTTCACCTTTCACTCTTTGAGACAAATTCCTACTACGTTGACCAGGCTAGCCTTGAATTCACTGTACCCCAACAGGCCTTAAATTTACTGTCCTCTTGCCTCAGCCTCTTAAGTAGCTGGGATTACCACAGCAGCCACTTCTATGGGTCTTAACTCTTCCTTTTTACATTAAAGATTAGTGGTCAGAGAACTAGAGAGGGCCGTGAACTGAGTGTCCTCCACTCCAGCTCACGGAAGGTCTTAGGGCAGCCACCGGCAAGAAAACTCAGGTTCTCCCTGAGCATTGCTCATGCCTAGAGCACCCAGAGCTGTGGCTTGACTGTTGCCAGCCTCGCCCAGGACGATGACAGCAACAGAAGAGAGAAGAAAGGGTGGCTTGTGGGTCGGAGGCCACCTGTGACAAGGCATAAGAACAATGCCCTTGTCTGGCAGCCCTGGAGAGGAGCCCACTGGCACAGGGAAGTGGGGGTTTCTGAGGTGCCTAGTCACATGGCCTGCATGGCTGTTTATGGACAAGGTTGCTAGAGTCTTCCAGATGACCTTTGATCCAAAGCCCAGCACCACAGAACTATGTTTTACCAGAAAATCCAGGGATGTTTTGAGTACAACTCTTCCTTGAGGCCATTTGGAGAAAGTTTAGACTGAGCAGTGCCAATATCTACACAAAGGCAGGGCCTCTGGGGGAAGTGTGCAACGGTCACTGCCCTCCAAACCCCCCATTGCAGCCCAGGAAATGGAAAGGAACCCCATCCAGAGCCCTGTGCCAAAGTTAGCTGGCACCTATGAACAGGGAGCATTTCTGCTCTGGAGTGATGGCCCCCTCTAGCCGTTATGATGAGGAACTGCAGGTATGGGTTCCCAAGTCAAGACAGGCTTATTATTCTCTCTCTCTCTCTCTCTCTCTCTCTCTCTCCTTCACAATTTATTCATTATATATCCCAATTGAAGCCCCCTCCCTCAACTCCCCCAGTCCCACCCACCCTCCCTCTTCCCTTCATTCTCTTTCCCTAATCCACTGAAGGGAGTTTTCCACCATTGCCATCTGCCCATAGCTTGTTAAGTCTCATCAGGATTGCTTGGACCCTCTCTTCCTCTGTGGCCTGGCAACGCTGCATCATCAAGGGGCCAGTGATTGGAGAGCAGTCAACTGAGTTCATGATCCCCTCACTCAGAGATCCACATGGAGACTGAGCTGCCAATCGGCCACATCTGAGCAGGGGGTCTAGGTCCTCTCCATGCATGGTCCTCTGTTGGTGCATCAGTCTCTGCCGGACCCCCTGAGCTCAGATCTTTTAGTTTTGTGGTCTCCTTGTAGGGCTCCTGTCCCCTCCATGTCCCTCTCATCCCACTTCTCTCTTCCTCCATAAGACTCCCTGCCCTCTGCCTAAAGTTTGGCCCTGAGTCTCAGTATCTGCTTTGATCCCCTAGTGGATGAATCCTTTCAAAGGAACCTCTATAATAGACTCCCATCATGTATCCTCTCTTCCACTGCTTCTGATATCGGTCCTGTTTGCAATTCTGAATGAGATTTAAGCATCCTCCTCAGTGTTTAGGGTCCTCCTTAGTGTTTAGCTTCTTTGGGTCTGTAGATGGCTGTCCTATAATATACGGCTAATATCCACTTATTAGTGAATGTATACCACGCCTGTTTTTCTGTTTCTGGGTTACCTCACTTAGGATGATCTCTTCAAATCAAAACAAAACAACTCTGAGATTCTATCTTGCACCTATCAGAATGGCTAAGATCAAAAACTCAAGGGACAACACATGCTGGAGAGGATGTAGAGAAAGGGTAACCCTCCTCCATCACTGGTGGAAGTGCAAACTTGTACCACCACTTTGGAAATCAATCAGGCACTTTCTCAGAAAATTGAGAATAGCTCTACCTCAAGATCCAGCTATACCACTCCTGGGCATATACGAAAAAGATGTCCCACCATTCAATAAGAACATTTGCTCAACTATGTTTATAGCAGCCTTATTTGTAATAGCCAGAGTCTGGAAACAACCTAGATGTCCCTCAACGGAGGAATGGATACAGAAATTGTGGTACATTTACACAGTGGAATACTACTCAGCTATTAAAAAAACAAGGAAATCATGAAATTTACAGGCAAATGGATGGAACAGTCTTACACTCTTAACTTCTGTAGGGCGTAGGGAGAGGAGTGGGGTGGGGTATGGTCATTATTGAAGGATCAGGAAAGAGGGGAAGGCTTCCCCTTTCTTCCGCCTTTCCTGAGAGAAATGGAGCTTGTCTTTGTTCCATCAGCTCTGAGGGCCAGAGGGTTAGGGCTGTCTACGAGGGCTGAGAGAGGCACAAAGGCCTTTGTGCTGGAGGTTGATGGGAAGGAAGTGTCCATGGCCTGTTCATTCCTCCTAGCTTCCCCTAATCCTGTTCCCAGTGGCTGGCAGAAGCCACTGTGTGTGTAACCAGAGAACAAGGTCAGAGAGACCCTGCTCTTACAGCAGCTGTCCATGCTCGCACCTACAGGGCTCATAGTGAAAGAACAGTGACTGGGCCGGGGTGGTAACCTTGGACCACCAGTTCTCTGAAGGAACTCTGACTCTTTGGTTCTTTTCAAGCAGGAGAGAGTTGACAAAGGCATCGAGACAGATGGTTCCAACCTGAGTGGTGTCAGTGCCAAGTGTGCCTGGGATGACCTGAGCCGGCCTCCGGAGGATGATGAGGACAGCCGGAGCATCTGCCTCGGCACACAGCCCCGGAGGCTCTCTGGCAAAGGTGGGGGCCATCCCCTGCCTCGCCCCTTTTGCCTTCCAGGCTCCCTAGGACAAGTCCCTAAGTAAATGGCAGCCCACTCTGGCTTTTTTCTGACAAATGAATTTTTCCTGTGTGGGTGAGGTATATAAGTTTTATTGGCCTGTTTGTAGCTGTTTCCTGTGTGTGTTTCAAACACGCCAGCAGCAACTATGTGTACACTCTGCTGCTTGGAATCTGATCTCATGCCTGTGAGTGGGAAGCATGGAATTGTTAATAGAGAAAGTACATGGTCCTCACAAAGACAAGACAGCAAATGGCCACCACCCACAGAACCGACCCAGGTCCCAGCTCTGGCCTGAAGGCCATGCCAAACCTGAGAGTCTCTCTCCCTGGTCCTTCCTGGGCTCTTGATGAGAATGACCTGAGGTGGGAGGCCCCACACAGCCCTTCACTGCAGTTCAAGAGGCCGTGGCAGGGCGCCCCGCTCCCACTGCCTTCCGGGTAAGGTCTTAAAGAAGGAGCATGTGGCTGCCTGTTGGATGACCCCCATGCTGGTCTTGGCTACAAAGTACTTGTGGCTTTGCTTTTTTTTTTTTTTCCCCCCCTTTGGCTGTCCCAGGCTAATGCCAAAGGAAAAGCAGCCATTTTACATACATGTATGTTTGAGGCTTCCTGTCTCCTTCCTTTCTTATTTGGTGATTAAGATGCTTTCAGCCCTGAAAAAAATACCTGAGACAGGGCCTCATGTAGCCTAGGCTAACCATCAAGTTACTACGTAGCCAAGGATGACCTTGAATTCCTGATCCTCCTGCCTCCAGCCTCCATTCTCACACCAACCTCATGGTTTCCGGAAGCTTTCTTGTTTCTTTTGTTCTTGGTGCTGGGGATGAAAGCTAAGCACAGACTGCCATGGAGCTGACAGAGCTGTACCATGAGGACAGCCATGCTGGGTGTGAGGACGCTCACAAAAAGGTTCCTGAAAAGACTCCTTAAACTCCTAGTGCAATTATCTGAGCCCTTTTCTTCCTGCGGGAGTCAGGGTTGCTCACATCCAGTTGCTGTTGACGAAAGAGAGCTTAGAGAGGTTGCCAGTGTGTCCACAGCTGCTGTCAGCATTGCTACTTTATTTATTATTTGTTTTTCAGACAGGCCCTCCCTCTCTGTGGCAGAAGCTAGCTTCTAATTTCCCGTCTCAAACTCCCCAGTGCTGGGATTACAGACATGCACCCCCTCGCCCAGCACTGCTTTGGTTTTAATTATTGTAAAGATCATTGATTGTACAATAACAGGTCACACAGCGAAGTTGATGGTCGTACCTTCCCCTCGAGTGCTGCCAGCCCCCTCCTCTTTTCCCCTTTCTCCCTTTATCTGGAGGCAGTGTCCCATTGTGCGGCCCACCCAAGCTGCTCTCAAACTTGTCAAACTCCTTTTTCAGCCTCCTAGTGCTCAGATTCCTGTTATGTACCACCTTGCCCAGCCTTTCACCAGTATAATGCTGTACTAGGCTCTAGAACAGGCAGGAGAGAAGGGCTGTTGGGAGCCCAAAGCACCATCAGGCAACTTGGTGATTTCATTGCAGACACAGAACAGATCCGGGAGACCCTGAGGCGAGGACTTGAGATCAACAGCAAACCTGTCCTTCCACCAATTAACTCTCAGCGACAAAATGGCCTCACCCACGACCGGCCCCCGTAAGTGTCTGTGTGCCAGGGCTGGGACGGGAGGATGGAATCTTTCCTGAGGCACCGTCCCTGAGGCCTGCATGAGAGAGAACAACACACATGCTTCCTGTTGAGTGGACCCAGGGTCTCTGGGCTTAAGGGCAGCCCTGGTCCCGGGGTACATAGGCCTGAGAGGATTGTAGGAAAGGACCTCAAAGGGGGCTCTGCTCTGCAAACCATGAGTATAAACAACAGTAAATGTTTACATGGGCTGTGTGAACAGGAGACAGTCCAGGTTGGGGAAAAATCTGACTGGGGGCCTCTCAGCCTGTGGGAGCCCATTGTGCTCAGCAGGTCCCCTCCTTATCTCACTCTGGGTCAGAGTTGCCCTTCCTTCCTTCCTGGAGCCTGGGCTCTAGCTGATTGCTGCAACCTCACAGACCTTCTTGTCTGGCCAGCCCTGTACTGCATGCCTGCTACTGAGGCCCTTCTTCCTGCCTGCCTTTCCTGGGGCCCAGAGAAGGGAAGGAAAGTCCTTTGCAGGCCTCTGCTGCCTGTCTAAGAGCCCTGTAGTCCTTGGGAGAAACCAGGCAACCCCAGAGGTCAGATCTCTTTCCTGCCCACCTCTTCCTTTGTTAGAGGCAAGTTGTGAGCAAGGCTGGGGTTCTTCTCATCAGGCGGGGGATACCTGGGTGCTGGCAGCTCAGAGAAGGAACCTTGCCTGCCCGGGAGGAAATTGCTGGGCCTTGGGTGGAAAAGGAGCTGGGCTGATCCTACAAGTCTAGGAGGATCCGCCTGCCTTCTAAGAGGCCCTTACTGTAAACTTGCTTTGTGGTAACCCTGAGCCCGGGGACCATCTGCAATGCACAGGGTCTTCCTTTTGGGGAATGTGGATGAAACAAACAACATGACCTGATCATGGTGTATGCAGTCTGACTGCACACACAGTCTGTTGGGAATGAGCATAGCTTTGGAGTCGAGAAAGCTAGGAAAGACCAGTGATGTAGCACACGACAGAAAAGATGGTGTCATCTGGAGTAGGAGTGTCATGGAGGGAGAGGACTAGGAATGTTCCCTAGGCTAGCAGCTCACATGGGAAGCTCTGAAGGGATTGAGGAGGGAAGGGCTGTCTGGTTAGCACTGAGGATGCATTCCGGGAGCCGCCTATGGTGTTGAGGGTTACCCTGGGCACACTTCCATCCAGTGTGGCTTACCTGGGGTACATACCATCCAGAAGCTAGAAGAGTTGAGCTGTCTCACAGCACAGAAAGGCTTCCAGTGCCACTCAAAGCCCTCAGCTGCAAGCCAGGGGTTTTCTCAAGTCACTCAGGTTTTGCTCAGGCAGTAGCCGATAGCCAAGTTGTGTCCTGGGCATCTGGAATCTTTCAACCTGCACTTTGGACCCTGACCCAGGCCTGTACTCCTCCCCAAGCCCTGAATATGCCTTCTTGCCCTGGACTTCCTTGGCACTGGTAGCAGGCCAGAGGTACTAGTGGGCTTGTGGCCTTGAGTAGTTTGCCAGAAATGTGGAGACACACACCTTCCAGATGGCCTTCCCTCCTCTCCAAGGCTCTGACAGAGAGCTCTTGTGGAGACACCTCCTTGTTTCCCTTCCTTGACCTAGGACATGCCTGATATCTCATCTCCTGTCTTGTTTATATGTCTGCCTATTGTGCCCCAGGCACAGACTGGGCTCTTCGTTCCTGTAGACACCACAACTGGGCAGAAGGCAGCAGGCTGGACACTTGGCAGCAGGCTGTTCCCTTTGCCCCTACTCTTTGCCCTCCATTGGCTGGTATTCTGAGACGGGTGAGAGGGATCGGAAGTGCTAGCCCTCTGGAGTTGTCTGCCCTCCTGCAGCTAATGTGCCCAGCCAGGGCCCCGAGGAGCTGAAGTCTGCCATCTGGAGGGGTCAGAACTCTTCCTCTGGGGTCTCGTCCTGGTTACTAGCTTGCTAATGAGCAGCAGAGCAGAGCACCCTCCTCTCTCCCTGGCTAAGACCACCACCAGGATGCCCACAGATCCCCCAGAGCCTAGCTCTCTGTTGTCTCAGGTTCAACAATGGCCAGCTCAGTTGAGATTAGCAAGCACATTGTAATATCTGTGCTGCCCACTCTGGGACCTGACCTCATTTCAGACACACCGTAAAGATCGTGACAGAGAACGCCAGTCCCAGATGTGCTGTCGCCAGTGTTTGCCCTTCTCCCTCCGGGAAGCTGTCGTCACAGCATGGGCCCTGTTCTGTCTGCCTGTCCAATTTTGCCTTCGTCAGGACTTTGGGCTGGGCAGTCTGATGCATGAGTCTTTGTGGATCTGGATATGATCTAGAAGGTTACAGAGATGGATTGGGTTAGAACAGCTGATCAGGCTGGGCATCAGGAACTGGATCCTGGCCTACTTGGGGAATTGGACACTTGCTAATTTCATACATCCATAGTGGCCAACAGTCCATACCAGTATTAATTTAATTCATCCTCATAGCCACTGTGTGAAGTAGATAATCTTACATTTTCTTTTTACAGAAGGAAAAAGTTGAAACACAAGGAGCTGATGAGTAATTTAGGGTAGTCTTAACAAGTGTGGTCTTCCTTGCCCTGTGCTCAGGGACCCTGTAAGAACCATGTAGGCCATGCCTCTGAAGTAATAATGATCTCACCCGGAACTCAGGTAACTAACTGGTTGTAGCATGAATAGGGACAAGCTCCCACATGACACCGAGGACAAGCAGATGACCAGGCTTATTTAACTGTAAGAAGGACCTCTCATTCACCTCAATAGTTCTGGAGATAATGAGTTGTGTCCTAACTGGCTCGTTGATAGCAGAATTACTTTTTGACACAGGCCTTGATTTTTTTCTTCAGAAACAAACATAACCCTATCTCTGGCTCATCTCCCACTCAGGACCAGGGGATTTTTTTTTTTTCTTTCTGGAGCCCTGTTTCCTGCTTCCCAGAAAGGCAGCCCCTCTGGGTAACCTGCTCTTCTCCCGCCTGCCGTTGCCAACCCTCCTCCCACTGCCTTCCTGGAAGGAGAGTCTTGGGCTCTCTTTGGGGCGTCTTCGGCATTTCACAACCCTTGCATTCCAGCCATGAAATTTGTATCTGCCTTTTCCCAAGATGATCAGTTGAAAAAAGCCTCCTTCGGCTTGCTGGCGCCTCCCTTCCCACTGCCTGGGTGAGTTTGGGAAGCAGCCCTTTGTGCCACATGAGGACAGCCTGGTCTGGGGCTGTGCCTGCCAGCATTTGTTGGGATCCAGGGTGGGAGTCACTGGACATGGTCTGAGGTCCCTGAGCAGCCAGAGTCTGGTGTTAACTCCCCAGCCTGACCATGGTGATGGTGACAGGAAGGTGTGTGTGGTCAGGTGTGTGCACCAGAAGGTCTGTTTCTGTAAGCTGCTCCTCTCCTCACACAGCCAGTGACTCATTGAGGAGGACACCTCCATCAGCAGCTCTAGCATCTTCCCAAAGAGGGGCAGGCATTATGTGTGCACATGTGTGTTAGAGAGAGAAGGCTTTGGAAAGTCAGAGGGCCTCTCAAAAGCAAGCTTAGCATCTCTGCTCAGCCAGGCCCCTGATTTGTCTAGAATAGCACCAGGAGTTTAGAAGGACATTCCCCGATTAATTTCCTAAAGAATGACAGTGTCATAGCATGAATTCTCCTGTTGTGATGTTTTCCCTTTCTTCCTTTTTTCTCTTCTTTTTATCTATATCTATCTATATTCATGTTTATTTCTGTTTAAGATGGTGGTCTCTATCTTACTGTATAGCTCAGGCTGGCCTGGAGGTAGCCAGTAGCCCAGGCTGGCCTCAACTCAGGGCTGTGCTTTTTCCTCAGCCTCCCAAGTAGTGGGGTTGCAAGCAAAAGGCACACACGCTTACTCTTCTTGTCACCTCTGCACAGGTCTGTGCTTCTATTTCTGTGGAGTGACTTTACTGCCTCTCATTCCCATCTTGAGTAGTTTGTGACCCAGCCAGGGAATTGTTCTTTAGAGAAAACTGTTTTGTTTTGCTCAGCCTTATGGGGTCCATGAAGCATAATTAGAAGAAGCTATCTTGTTTCATCCACCCTGCCAGTGGATTTGGGAGAAGGAAGGTGAGTTTCCACCTAGGGAGGAAGCTAGTTGCTGTGGTGCCTCTTTGCACATAGGACAGATTTGGATGACCCCGCGGTCAGGGTTGTGTGTTAGGGTGGTAGACAGCCTGGAGCCGCTCTGTCACGGTGGCTTCACTCACAGTTCCGATACTGGCAAACTACAGTCGTTTGCACTGGAAAGCAAGCCCAGAAAAAAACAACCCTGCTCTCAGGGCCCTCACCAGCCTCTCCAGGGCTGACAGTAGGAAAGGCCAGTACCTCTGCTCTCACTGCTTTCTGGAGCAGAGGGTTTTTTTGTTGTTGTTGCTTTGTTTTTTGTTTTTTGTTTTTTGTTTGTTTTTTTGCTCCCTCACTGTGAACCAGGTTGTCAGGCTGAAGGCCTTCACTGCCTTTCTTAGAAATACTCATTTGAAAGGAAAAAGGAAACAGGTCCAACCAATCTGACATAGGTCAATTATGTTTTGACTCTGGTCTTTGCTCCACTTTTCCAAAGAGACAAAGCTGAGGCCACCATTGAGGGTTCCTCACCGGTACTTTGAAGCTAAGTGCAAACGCTGCATCCCCTCCCTCGAGTTGCACAATCAGGAGTATTTTTATCATCCATCCTTGAAGTGTCACCCAACACTTCAGCAGTGAGTCACTTCTGCAGGGAAGGGAAAAGGAAGGTTCAAAGGTGAGAGCTGAAGAAAGGAAGTGACTCCATGTCCCAGAGGAAGGAGAGCCAGGGGCTTGGGCTAGAGTGGGGTCACCTAAGATCAAGGAGTCCTACCTAGCCTTACCACCCAAGCCAGGGGCCAGACTAGGATGGAGTCCTTGGTGTTCACAGCCACTGGTGGATGGCCAGAGAATCTTGCGAAGCTTAGTGCCGCTGCTACAGTCCTGTCCCGCCTGCCTCTGCCCTGTCACCTTCATGTTCTGTATGTGGAACCTGCCTTTCT